CCAGGCCTCTCACAACCCTGCCCAACCCAGACCCAACATGAAAGGTGTCAGTCCTTTCAATTTGTTAACAAATTAATAAAAGACCTAGGAGAAGACTGTGTCTAATACCAAAACACTGTTGCTGTCTTATGCCTTCTGTTTCTTGTAACAGTTTAGCCTTAACACTGGTGTTCATAGCACTGCCTCGGCTGCTGGCCGCACAGCAAGCTCGCTGCCTTAGCCCACAGCTGAAACCGGGGACGGGCTCCCGGCAAGAGAAACTCAGAATAGCTTCTTGCTGGTATTTGAATTTTATGTCCAGTGAACGTTTTTCCCTTGACTTCACTTTATTGTATTAAAGTCAGGCTTGTTGAGATCTAGTTTATACGTGAGAAAGTTCACCTGCTCTGGTGCAGAGTACTGTGAATCTTGACAAACTTATTTAGTCATGTAACCTCCACCTCAACCAAGATGTGGGACATTGCCTTCACCCCAAAACATTCCCACCTGCCCCTCTCGCCCTGCCCCTGGCAACTACCAATGGGACTTCACTCCGTAGTTTGCCCTCCCTAGAAGAACATAGCTTCAGATCTGTAGCAGGTGTCTTTGGAAGGAGAAGGAGAAAGAGAAGGAAATGCCCGCCACGTACATCTGAGGCCAGCAGCCTTTGCCTCAGTACAAAAGCACATGGCTCCCTGTAACACCTGTCTCCTGTCCTTTCCAGTACCTGCTTTCCCCAGAGACCATAGAAGCCCTCCGGAAGCCGACCTTCGACGTGTGGCTTTGGGAGCCCAACGAGGTAAGTGAGGGGGCATCACTGGGATCAGTGTCACTAGGGACGGAAGCTCAGGATTGTGGACCCCCCCATTATTGTTCCACCTTTGTACTTTCTCCTTTCTGCCTTTTTTTTTTTTAAGAACAACAACAAACTTGATTCTCCAGGTTTCAGTTCAAACTGATGCTTCATGAGCTCAGGGGGGCTCAGGAGGCAGAGAAGGCTGGAGATGCAGGACCCTCCAACCCTGGAGCTGCAAGCGGTTCGAGCTCCCAGGGGCCACCTGTAGAACCTCAGGCAGCTGCCACCAGCCACTGAAGACCAACACTCGGCACTCGGACACAAGCTCCCCTGCTTTGGGGCAGAGGTTTCATCAAGAAAGGCACTTCTGTTGGAGTGTTCTGCTGAGAAAGTTGTCAGCAGCATTTTAAGTGGAAACATGGGATTCAGGGACCTGTGAGTCACTTTCTGCAGCAAGGTATTTCTTGAAAATTTCCCATTTGCTGAGAAAACACAAAAATGAAGATTTTTTTGGTTTAGTTTAATTATGTGATGATATCAGATAAACCTTTCTCTTTCCACACTCCAAGATAAGGAAAAGTCCCTCATCATAGCAATCAGACCCAGCTGTTTTCAACCTACCAAAATCTAAGGACTCTTTCCAGTAACACAAAAATGCAGAAAGTCCGCCCTGAGCATGTTCTTCTGTTTGACAGTATCAGTAGCCAGGACATCTCCACGAATGGCAGCAAGTGGGATTCTGCACCAGCAGCATTCAGGATTCTCTTTTGCCAGCGCCTGGGGCCTGGGTATCTCCTAAGCAAACGCTCTCACACATGTGATCTCCCAGAACAAGGAAACCTCGGCTGCACTGGCCAGAAAAGCACAGCTGCCACTCCCCAGCCCAGTTCACCCAAGAAGAGCAGCAGGAGGCCAGAGCAATGGTCCGCAGCTCTGAGAGAGCAGGGCTGGCACTGGGGCTGGAGAAGCGGG